TGTGATCACACTTCTCCGAAACGGCTCGACCGATTTTAATGGTTTTTTTTGTATATTTGTTTGGTTGGTATGAGAATAGCTCGTAAAGTCTTTTTTACTCTCCTATCCCCACCTATTTTTTAATCGCGATTTTAGTATTTTTGTATGAACAATACTATATAAATACATAGGGACGAACCCGAGCGAAGCGAGAGTGTGTCGCTGTATAACATAAAACCAAAGATTTTTTTTTTTGTAGATTGAACTCGGGCTTAGTCGCGGGTTCTGCTAGTATCATGTAATATTTCATTACAATATATTTATGATGTAAAGCGGGATATCTACCATATACAATATACATATATTAATATGTAACCGTGAGAGTGGCGGTTGTAACAGTGACAGTGCCGAAATATCGGAAACTCTCTAAAGTGAGTAAAAACATGAGAAATATCCGTTTTACATCATAAAAATATTGTCAGCGACCAATATAATTTAAAGATTTAGTTTATCAGGCATTTCTTCTTGCATTATTTAACAATTGTAGAACAGCATAATGTCTAAGCCCTAAGATATATTTCTTTTTCTAGTTTTTCGTGGGAATTCAAAATATTGCCGTTTAAATATGAACATTAAGCTGTGAAAATTGCACATTTATAATTAGCACTTATGTTGACGACATGACGCATTGGTCTCTTTCACAGGTTTGATTTCTAGCCCTAGTAGCTGGTAGCCCAGTGGTAACGCGCTTACTTGGGAAACCAAGTGAAGTGGGTTCAAATACCAGGTCTCGTACCTCTGATATTTTCATGTGCGAATCATTCCTAACATGATTACCACTTGCCTTACGGTGAAGGAAAACATCGTGAGGAAACCTGCATGTCTGAGAGAACCTAGCAAGTTTTCTAAAGACATGTGAAGTCCACCAACCCGCACTTGGCCAACGCGGTGGATTACGGCCTGATCCCCCTTGTTTAAAGGGAGGCCTGTGCCCAGCAGTGGGACGTTAAAAAGGGCTGAATACATTTCGTTTTTATATATAGATAATATTATTATCTGTACTAACATTTTTAATATCATAGAATCAATAACGTATGATCCACATAAGAAGCCAGAAAGTGACAACATTCATCTTATCTCAACCAATTAATCTGTAAAGAGTATAATAATATACTATTTTTGTTACCGATATTTCTTTTTTTTCTATAAAGAAAAAAAAAGAAATATCGGTAACAAAAAATAAATTAAAACGTAAAAAATTATTTTTATTTAATTTAAAATGTTTAATAATTCACATTAACCTAAGAGTGTTAAAGTTTATTTTATATAGTAGCCTTGATATATTATTTTTGTCAAATTAAAAAAAAAACTGAAGGATACTTTCGAATGAAAAGGTACTAAATATACACAGTCACATTAAAAACCGGTTTTAAAAAGTAAGTTACAAACAGCACTGTTAATTTAACACTAGTAATTTCATAACACTGTGTCTGTAATAAGTCTGTAATAAATATAATTTTTTTTTGGTTGTATTAAAAGTTTTTTTTGGGTTCCGTACCGTAGAAGGAAAAAAGGAGCCCATATGGCATATAGGGTTACCTCTTTGTCCGTTTGTCCTTCTGTTTGTTTGTTAAGAATCTTTTTCTGAGGAACGTGTAGAGATATCGAGTTGATATTAATACTAAATACAATCCCTTGAAGCTGTGAAAATGCAATTGTTAATCAGATAATCAAAACATATATAATATATATATATATATATATATATAGTAATTCTCGTTGACCTAGAGTCATGAAATTTGGCAAGAAGCAATATTTTATATAGCACAAGTAAAGGAAAAAACCGTAAACCGTAAATTTAAGTTACGTCACAAAAAAAATTACGATTATAAACTTTTTTAATGTTGTATACTACGGAACCCTTATTGTCGGGTCATACTCGCACTCGTCTGATTGTTAACCACAAATAATAGATTTTTGGTGTAAACCAGATTTTTGGTAATCATATAGGTATTACTAAATATGGAGAAGAAGAAGAAGAATTACTTACTATCACAATAATTTTTCAATAGAGTATTTAACATACGATCGTACATTCTTACTAATCTGTCAACCGTAGATTCCCGTAAAACTAACAAAGGCAAGCAAAATTTATCAAATAAACAAAAAAATAATAATTTTTGAGATACTTCTTTTATAACATACTTATTATTATAACGTAACTATATTATGCATATCAATCATGTGAAGTCTTTGAAATGAAAAGTACATTTTGTATGTAATACATTTCGACCTTAGTAACTGGTATCGTTGACTGCACTCTACATACGTATATCTTATAATATTAAATGAGTAATTCTTGTATATACATACATAAATTTATTTCGTATATCTCAGAAACGGCTCTAACGATTTGGATCAAATTGTGTATTTAGATAAGGGTTTGCTTATAAAATTTATCTATATAGATTGACTATAGAGGTATTTTCTGAAGAAAAAAAACGCAATTTATTTACATATCAAATAATATATTAATATCTTTATCCAAAGAAAATTATAATAGCCTTAGTACTTAATAAATACAACAAACTTTTTTTACTTAAAAGCATTACTTCCTCTGGAACTAAAATTTTATATATACAATCTCTAACACAATATGATACTTACTCGTACAACTAACTATTTGCACAATTATTATAAGATTCGCAAGTGGAGCCGGGAAAAGAACTTTTTTGTTCTTTTCAAAACATATATCAGAACTAGCAGCGTATCTGCCCGCGTTCAGATAATAAAAAACCAAATTCTTATATTTTACATATTAGTATACTCTTACATTGCAGATTTTGTATTTTTTCTCAGAAAAAAAAGGTAAAAAGTATCCTATATGCTGACCTGGATAACCAGCTATCACCATACCAAATTTCGTTAAAATCCTTCGAGTGGTTTTTCTGTGATGCGGTAACAGACTGACAGACAAAAATTCTAAAAACTATAGATTCGGCCTCTGTATCGATAATAATGTATATTTCAATAAGATTTTCGGAAAAATATTTAAAGTACAGATTCGGCTTAGTTACAATTTTATTATATGTATAGATATACGAGTATATCATAAGCTTATCTGAATAGCCTAATGTTAGGGCAGAAGTTTAATTAAGTGTCGTTATCTTCTTATTCCTCATGCAAATGCATGAAACTATGAAAATCACTGTAAAGTCTTTCTTGACTAATCGTGTCTTCATTATAGAGCTTCGAAGGTAATAAAAATTTAAAATATAATTAGCTAAATATGTTTGTAATGGAATTACATATGTGTATCCATTCAGTATATTTGACCTGTCATATAGCAATATTCATTATGATTTCCGTTATATACATACAGCACTCTTCAAATGATTTTCCACAAAAACGAAAAGATATTTTATGTATTTAAATGTATGTTTTTGTATTTATTCATGTTACACAATATCTTCGCTAATTTTTATGATTATTTTTAAATAGCGTAGGTACGTTTTAACGGTAAGTAATTAGTATGAAATACAAATCTTGCTTTTCTGTTCTATAATATGCATATATTATACATATAAACCTTCCTCTTGAATCACTCTATCTATTACTGAAAACTGCATTAAAATCCGTTGAGTAGTTTAAAAGATCTAAGCGAACAGACAGCGGAAGTGACTTCATTTTATACTATGTAAAGATGAATTCGTTGTATACCATACCAAGGTTTATTTAACACATCAAATTTAAATAATTTCGTTTTAAATGATTTTGAAGTCGATTTAAGTTTCATTAAAAGGGAGATTCAATAAAAATCGATATCTATTAAAAATGTAAGACAATTCTTAAATTCTCTTTTGAATATATAGATTGTTTTACTCAAAGTAGTTTTTTCCTTACAATTGGGTTACGCTACATATCACAAGATCTACGATCGGTTCATTAACTTAACTCCAGTTTGATTACTTCATAACGTATAGTTGTTCGACAAAATTATTACTATAGTTATTTTGATGGATATTACTAATTACCGGCCTTATTAATAATTACCGTTGTTTTGTGCAAAAAGTAGTTCAAATCACGTAATATACTTCGAGGTAGAACAATTTCCTAGTATAAGATTGTATTTTTTTAAATATTTTATAAAAGCTAAATTAATTTATAAATTATATAAAAACAAACTTTCAATTATTTGAAACTAGCGGCTCACCTTCGCTTCGCTCAGGTTCGCTTCTAGAAAAACAAAAACAAATCTATCCCATGGGATCTGTACATTTTCCCGGGATAAAAATTAGCCTATGTATTATTTTGATGCATGAACTATATTTTTTAAAGTTCCATTAAATCCATTCAGTAGTTTTTGCGTGAAAGAGTAACAAACATCCAAACATCCATACATCCTCATAAACTTTCGTATTTACAATATTAGTACGAAGTAGGATGATGCATCCGTTTTAGAATAACTAAATTTTAAATAATCTGTTAAAATTATTGTAAGAAAACTTCAAATAAAAAACTATTCGCATGAACTTCTTTTTACTCATAACATCACAAAAAAAATTGTACTAATAACTTTTAATGTATAAAATTATTTACTGTTCAAATAAGGAGATAAAATCAACTACTTCTTTATTAATTTTTAATATTAAATATTAAAATTAAAAACAAATATATATAAACAAATATATAAGCATCACAAAATATAAATAATAAAAAAAGCTTTCAAAAATCTATAAAAAAATTCAATTAAATTAACATTAATTTTCTATAATTAAAACTTAATTAAATTACTAATTCATATATTACTTAAGTAATATATTGACAAACAAAATTTTCTTATAAATAAATCGTGATCTTCGTTAAAAATATAACATTATACACACACATGTTGAGCTGTGAGAGCGAAAGTGTTTGCTACATTGATCGACGAAACTACTTACTCTCGGTATAAAACCACCGGCCAATTCTCACACAGCACACTCCTGTGCAGCCTTCGCTGAACATTATACAAAGCGACAATGAGGCTATTGGTTAGTTTAAATATATTCATTAAAATAATTATTAAATCTTAATTCATTCAATTAAAATTAAATTTTTAATTTCCACTCATTTGTAAAGATTTGTATTTTTTTTATGATTGGACTAATTAATATTATATAGAATAATCTGGATTAAGCTAATTTTTCTTATTTTTTATACCCGCATTTGTTAATTTTTTGTGTATTTTTCAGAGATCTTCCTTCATCCTGGCCGTGGCTATAAGCCTGGCCACGGCAGAGGAAAAGGCAGAAAAAGATTCAAAGGCTGAACCTAAGCAGGTCGAAGAAAACAAGAAACAGGACAAGAGAGGTCTTTCAGATTACTATGGTGACCATGGTTACGGAGACAGTGGCAGTTTCGGTGGCCAGGGAGGCTATGGTGGAAGTTTAGGAGGATATGGTGGTGGATATGGTGGAGGATATGGTGGTCATGAAGAACATGAGAAGACAATCACAATTATCAAGAAGGTGCCAGTGCCTTACCCAGTGGAAAAACATATCCCTTACCCAGTGGAGAAAGAAATACCAGTAGCAGTCAAAGTACCAGTACCACAGCCGTACCCCGTAGTGAAGACTGTACACTTCCCAGTCAAGGAAACAATCAAAGTTCCTGAATACATCCCGAAGCCTTACCCAGTGACCAAACATGTGCCAGTACCAGTCAAAGTACATGTTGACAGGCCAGTCCCAGTAAAGGTATACGAAAAAGTGCCATACCCAGTGGAGAAGCACATCCCAGTTCCCGTGAAAGTACCAGTGCCTCATCCCTACCCAGTGGAGAAGGAGGTTCATTTCCCAGTTAAGGTTCCAGTGAAAGTACATGTGCCGTATCCAGTCGAAAAGATCATTCACTACCCTGTCCATGTGCACGTCGACAACCCTGTGCCAGTTCATGTCGATAAACCAGTCCCAGTTCACGTTGAGAAACCAGTGCCTTACCCAGTGGAGAAGCCCGTACCTTACCCAGTGAAGGTTCATGTTGACAACCCAGTGCCAGTACATGTGGAAAAACCTGTACCCTACCCAGTGAAGGTACACGTACCTGCACCTTACCCCGTAGAGAAGGTTATTCCGTACCCAGTAGAAAAGAAAGTACCTATCCCCGTACATATCCCAGTGGACAGGCCCGTCGCTGTCCCAATTGAGAAGCACGTGGCGTACCCAGTAGAAAAGCACGTACCTTACCACGTGAAGGTGCCAGTTCCTATCGTCCATCATGAAGAACACCATGGCTACGAGCAGAGCAACGGATACGAAAACTCTGGCAGCCTAGAAGGAGGTTTTGAAGGCCACTATGGAGGCTCCGAGGGTGATTACCACCACTAAGTGAACTGATCTCTTTTTTTTTTGTTTTTGTAGCTTTAAATGTTGATTTGTGTTTAGACTTCGAATAAGTATTTTAATTTACTGAAATGCATATGTAAATACGCTGAAAGTATTACAATATACATTTATAAATTCTTTAAATAATCTTTAATTTCATTTTATCGATTTTTTTAATTGTAGTGAAAAATAGCAATTTTCAATGCGGTTTAGAAGTTATGAAATCGGGTAATTGCGTATATTAACTACTAATAAATCATACGTAAATTCTCTTTCACTGAATGATGTGGCACAAAACATATTATTCAAACTAGCGACTCATCTCGCTTTGCTCAGGCTTGTCTCTAGATGATTCTCTAAATTGATATAACTTTTTTATTTATGAACCGATTGGAATAAAACAAATACTAAATATTAAGTGAAGCTTACCACAATACATTAGTGGAAACCCCATCCAAATAGGTTTAGCCATTTCTGAGATTAGCGCACACAAACGCACAGACAAACAGACAAACTCTTTGTTTTTTCCGGTTATACCCAATAATAGTTTTTCGCAAATATCTTCCATGTACAGACAGCGATCAGTAACTTTTATCATATATATAGAATAGATATAGTTGAAACTGTCACACATTGATGATAGAAAATCAAGCGGCAAATAAACTTGAGTTCGTCATACATTTGTAAGCAAGTCAGTACAATTAATCTCATATTGCGAAGTTATTCTAATTCCGCATACCCAATAACATTACATAAAGCTTTACGCAATACGCTATAAAGATCATGGCTAAAACACATAACAGACGGTGAATTTTAACTATATTTCATCTAAATTTTGCTTTATTTGGTTAGAAATTAAATGTTTTTATTAAACTGTCTAATGAAATATAATTGCTGAGAAGTTATTTATGTAACAAAGATTGATTGCATGGAACAACGAACGATGCGCAGTTTCCTCATTATAATTATACCTCAACACACATATACCGGAACATTGGCTAATTTCATTTTATCAGTATGTTTGTTTGTTTGGAAAATCTTGTAAAATACCAAAAATATGAAAAATTCTCATAAATATAAAGTAGATGCTCTACATCTTTACAATATTAATACGCATGGGTTTATATTATACGAGAAAACTATGACTTAACGGATTATTGTTACGAAATTTTGCTGTGTGTGAGTCGGAAAACAAAAGAATAGTACAAAGTGAATGTGATCTACATACATAACTGACGCGTTATACGAAATTTGTAAGCGCTTTAAATAACGAAATATCTTGCAACATATACAATATTAATAACTTCCTTAAAATTAAATGTTTATTTATTATAAGTATTTGTTGTGTAATAATATAAAACACTAGCAAAACCTGCGGCTTTGCCCGCGTTCATTATTTGGATATTGTTTATACAAAAATATTAAAATCGCGATTAAAAAAGGGGGGAAGGTGAAAAAGACTTTGCGACCAATTCTCATACCTAATAAAAATACAAAAAAATCATTTAAATCGGTCGAGCCGTTTCGGAGTACGACCACAAACTCCGTGACACGAGATATTTATATATTAGATAAATCAAACTGGTTTGATATTTGTTAGTATACCACTAAAGTTGTTAGAGCTTTAGGTCTAATATTTAGGTTATCGAAGATTTTAGGGTATATCTGTATAAATATTATAAATGTGAAAGTTTGTGAGTATGTAAAGATGTTTGTTACTCTTTCACGCCAGAACAACTGAACAGATCTGGATAAAATTTGGCACAGAGATAGATTATAGTCTGGAATAATACATAGGCTACATTTTATCCCGGAAAAATGTACGATTCCCGAGGGATAGATTCGTTTTTTGTTATAACTAATATCGTAACGCGAGTAACTAATAAAGTAACTAAATAATAAATATTTATTTTAATTAGACTAAATAAGTGCTACTTCACATATCATTTATTTGAATTGGATAAAAAGCTATTTATGTTTACCAATTTCTTGTTCGGTAGATATACTCGTGTGTCCTTCAAATTAGCAATTTACTGCTATTACAACATATGTTCGTTTCGTATATTTTATATCATATTATACTTTCACTAAAAATGATTGAAGTCTATAAAATACTAGCAATTTGCCCCGGATTTGTCGGTCGAGTCTTGGAAAAATATTATTTGTAATACAAATTTTTTCGCTCATTTTCATCTCTTGTTCATTTTATTGTAAAAAAAAAGCATTTTTTGTGGTTACGTATGTATTTATAAGGGGATAATACATTGTCGAAGTATCAGCATGTTTCATGTAGAATTAGACATCACTAATAATGGGACGAGCAGTTCTGTATTATATTGTAGTATTAATTAACTAACCTTATGTAGGGTATGTTGGCAGGAATGTGGTACTTGGAACCAGGATCGAAGTCCAGCTCGGATCTCAGCACTGGAGGTTTGATACCTTCATACTGCTCCCTGAAACAAAAAGCATTATAAGTTACTATACGAGTATGTATTTATGCAATTTTTATTTCTTTAAGCTCTATTTTCGAATGTGTGTATAAGTACAAGTGAGCAACTTTTTTTTTTAATTTTTAGTTTTGGCGATTATCGGAACACGCATATAGATTAATTTTTATTTATGTACCTACGTACAAAACGTATCCCTTAGCGTTTAATACATATTTTAATACAAGCTGTTTTCTTTAAAAAAAAAAAAATTTTTTTTTTTATTTTTGATTTAATTATTGGTTCAAATTCTGTGTTCTTTAAAATAAATGAAGAACAATTTTGTTGTAAGAAATAAGGTCACTTAGTCGATAATTCTCACTTACATAACTATGTACAAATAAACTAACATATACACATATATGTATATGTTAAGCTACATAAGCTGTTTTATTATTCGTAGTCTAAGTAATAAATTATGAAAGATTTAAATTTTTATTATTGAAGTTACATCATACATGTATACTTATTTTTTTCTTTAATAAGTTGAAAAATATTAACTTTATGTAAAAAAAAAGATTAAAGATGATAATAAAATTATAAATATATATTTGAATTTACTTTGCAACTCTATAGTATGATCTAACTGCCTCAGTGGTCTAGTAAGTAAGCATGTACTGCTGCAGATCCGGAGGTTCTGGGTTCGAGTCTCAGGACTCGAGTTAGTCCAAGTATAGTTATTGAGTTCTCTTTCAAGAAATTGTCTCATCAAGAAATTTTGTAGACAAATACTACAGAAGATGTTTAAACTAATTGTAAGTATTTTAAATTAAATCTTTTCGGATTATTACACTGTTTTTTTTTTTGGTTTGATTGTTGGTTTGGTTTTTTGGTTGGTTGGAAAGGAATGGTCTAAAACCTTAGTCTCTTTCGTGATCATGATTGCTGTAAAGCATTCGAAACGTCGGAAACCAAAAATCAAAATGAATCAGCGAAATCATCCAAAAAGATAGTTTTATTTAAAATATCAAATATTCGCGTAAATCTAAGAAAGTATTAATTGTAAGTATTTAATTGCATAATATATTTAGGAATCGCTTCATCTTATAACATAACCCATTGTAAAATCCTTTCAACGGTTTTCGTAAGTCAAGGCCGAACCTCGACCGTATCTGCCATTGCAGATACAAACTAGATCAAATATTTAGAGATTGAAAGTTAAAAATAGCATCGAATGTTTCAAAACACGATATATGTTTTATTGCCCCATTTTTACTTATGTTAAAAATTTAATACAAGTGCGAGTCTGATTTCGGTCGTTTCGTGGTCTCCATACATTTTATTTGTGCTACATAAATACTGATAAAGGGCTTATTTTATATGATACTAACATTGCCCGTGGCTCCGCCCGCGTTCAGATGACCAATAACCAAATTCTTAGGTTTTACATAGTATACTCTTACATTGCAGTTTTTGTATTTTTTCTCAGAAATTAGATATTTTCCCGCAGTAAAAAGTATCCTACATGTTGACCCGGATAACCATATCACCATACTAAATTTCATCAAAATTCCTTCAGTGGTTTTTCCGTGATGCGGTAACAAACAAACAGACAGACAAAAATTCTAAAAACTATAGATTCGGCCTCTGTATCGATAATAATGTGTATTTCAATAAGATTTTCCAAAAAATATTTAATGTACAGATTCGGCTTAGTTAGAATTTTATTATATGTATAGATTTGAGCTTTGTCTTTGCTGCTTTTGTTATACTTTGGAATTTACACTATAAATAATTTGACTTCCTGTACAAGTATACATAGATGCAGAAAATCCAAGCGGAATGACAGACAGACATTGTTAGTGCTAATAAAAGAGCGAGTTCCCGATTCAACCTATAGGTTACGCAACCTTGGTAGAGTACATCATAGTAACGTGGTAGCTTTGAAAATGAATCAGTTTATTGCCTTACTTTAGTATCGTATCAAAAATCATTTATACTGCAATACACCCAAATTATGAACTGAATGCAAAGCTAAATTTTCCATATTTTACGCTATATATATTTATAATATATTTTTACTCATGATTGGATTACTTGATCAAATTAGGTAGTGCCTACGTTTCTAAGCAACCATTTAAGATACTTTCGACTCGTAACTAAATAATACTATCCTTTCTTTTAGCTTTCCCTTTCTAAGATATAATTTAAATTCACTCGAGTCGTAATAAGAGAATATATAATTCAATAATTATGTAAACAGTTTTTAATATAGTAATTATAATAATAAATAATATTTTATTTGCTTAATGCATGCATATATTCGGTAAAATGGTGCGTACATGTTTTAGTATTATCAACATACGATAAATGATTCGGATAATGTGTTGAGACATTAAAACACACAGCAATATCTAGTGCCATGGTAAACTACGAGGGTTGTGTTATAGATACCAGATAGTGGATACACTACATATATATAACTTTAAATACGTACATATTGTAAATATAAACATCCATGACTGGAGTACAAGCTTTCGTGCTCATCACACAAATGGATTGGAACGGGATTGGAACCCGCGACCGCTGGCACAGCAAGTAGAGTCACTACAAACTGAGCCAAGCCTGTCCTCATAATACATGATTTTCTAGCTTACTTCCCCTCGCTTCGCATTATTCTGAGATTTTTTTTATTACTAACAGTAGCTTATGTGTTACATCAGATCGTAATCTACTTGTGTATTAAATTTCATCCAAATCCATACAGCCGTTTTAGCGAGATGGAGTAACAAACATACACATACAAACTGTCGCATTTATATAGATGTCTGTCACATGACATCTGGGTAGAGGTAACAAAAGTAATTATCTATCAATATATAAAGCTGAAGAATTTGTTCGTTGAACGTGCTAATTTCTGTATCTACTGGTCTGAATTGAAAAACTCTTTTTGCTTTTCATATATATATATATATATATATATATATATATATATAGCCATATCGTGTTTATAAATGTTATAAAATTATGGCAAAGAGACGAATTAAAAATTATGATAACAAGAACAAAGTTAGTTTAGTTTTCAATGAAGCTAAAAGAAAAAAAATTCTCTGTGGATTCCGAAAAAGAAAACTACAAAGAAAAAAGAAAGCTCAAGAGGAACAAACTAGAGAATAAAGTTATCTAACATCACATTAAGACCTACGAAACCGAAGCAATTCTACAAAATTGAACAATGCGAGTAGATCCGCGAGAAAAGCATAGTATAGTAATAAAAGCCACAATAGCTATCTCAATGAAATATTGTATGAAACAACATAATACGGTCGTTAAATATAGCCAATACATTTTTAAGTCTAGAATCTTCCTTCAATGAAGCAACATGATCACTCGTGACCTAGTCAAAGCTATTTCCCCGCGCACCAGAGCGTATGTAACCGCGTTACGTTATAAGAACGTTATTAGTAATTATCATTATCTAATATATAATCGTCCATCTTGTCTTTTTGTACGTGTCCGTTGATATTAACCGGTTAAATAGAGGAAGAAAATCAGTATGTGAACCTGTTTCACGCATTACTACATGTTAAGGATTTCCAAATGAGACGAGATTGTATGTTATGCTTAGTCGTTATCACAAGATAACTTGTTAAGGCCAGATAATGTTAATATTTCAATCGATTCCCTTACACAATATACACATAGTAAAAAATATTATTAGAAAGAGCAACTTTTGTGTTTCTCACCGGCTTTTCTCAGCAGAACTGCCTTTCGAGCGGGTGGTACATTCCTCAAGGACTTATTGCCATTTAATAAAAATTTAAAATTGAAGAATCAAAAGAGCTTCTAAAAGTTCATTTGAATAAAGTATATTTTGATTTTTTAACATAAACTTAAGTGAAAATGGGTAGGCCATGCTGCAAGACTGCAAGATAATTGATGGACTAAAAAGATATAGAAAGATGGCATACGGGATAGAATCTTTATGCCAACGTAAACGAGGAAAACCATACCTCTATGGGAAGACGAGATGGCACGTATATGGGAGAATTCTGGACGGCCAAGCGAAAGACAAAGCTAAAATACTCTGGAGGACTCTACTCAGGGGCTCTCAAGTGAAAAATTATTATTATTTTTAATTTAAGATAATACTGTTATTTAGAGACATATTAAGGCTTTTTATTTTGTAATACCTTTATATATTATACTGTCTTCATACCAGCTTAGAAACGAGCATTGAATAAACTACTATATATACTATCCTTCAAGCGTATTGGGCATATTACTATGCTGCGCAAGCGTTGTTTTAGAGATTTTTAGGTCATCTCAATTATATTTCTTAAATCCTACTTTCTGCATATTATGCTTGCTTATTAAAATATTATAAATATGAAAAATTGTTAAATATTCATTTCTTGGTTTTTAGGGTTCCGTACCCGAGAGTGGCAACCCTATTACTATGCCTCCGCTGTCCGTCCGTCCGTTCGTCAGTCAGTCTGCTAGAGGGTTGTATCGCATGAACCGTAATAGGTAGAGAGATAAAATGTTCACAGAGTATGTATTTGTATTGCCACTATAATAATAAAATAAACAATAATAAAATAAAAATACAAGAAACATTTTTTTAACTTCCGTAATTGATCATCGAAATTAATATACTACATACATAGAGTAAAAGTCATATTAATAAAAAGTTCGTGTACAATGGTATGGAACCCTTCGTGTGCGAATTCGTACTTGACCAATTTTGTTTTTCTTGTACATAGCAAAATCATAGGGATATCAACATAGACCTTCTTTTAATTTGATAATGTATACAATTATTCCAGTGTGATATCATTGTACTAGCGACTCACCCTCGCTTCGCTCAAGTTCGTCACTAGGTACATTTTGACGCTTAGTATGGAATAGATTTTTCTTTTTCGTGAATTTTTCCGATGTTTTAATAGTATTCGGGATAAAGACAAATCCAACAAAGCAAAGATCATAAAAATCGGTCCAGCAGTTCTCGAGTTATAAATGTTTTAATAAACCCGACTTTGTTTTATATATATAGAATATATAATTAAATAGCTTAAAGGCGCATATAACTCAAGGGTAGGTCCATATAAATTGGAAAAAATTCCACCTCTAACAGGGGAATACTTACTTTTATAGTAAGTTTAAAATTAGTATAATTTTATATTTACCTAAGTCTCCACCAATGACAATTGTACTGCTCCTTCCTAATATCTCCATTGAAGACATCCCATCGCCATTTATCCATGACTAAGGCAAATGGCAGAAATGCTAGCTTATCCATAGCCTGAGTGAACAGATAGTTGATGTCATGAGCTGTATCATCAACTGAGCGCTGAATCAAACCCAGGGTTTGGAGGTGGCGAGGAGATGAAACTGATAACGCTATGGTCTCCCCTACAGCTTCATGGAAACCTGTGGCATAAAAAATATATGATATTAATAGGATTATTTTTTATGCTTGGAATAGACATAGGCATATCTTATATATTTTGGGTAAACATTTTTTTATATAAAATTACGAGCGTGTATTTGCGAATTTTTTTCATTGAAAATGGTAGAACAAAATAATAACAGCAAGTTTAAGCGCTAAAGTTAAAACTATAAAAACTCCTTACTAATATAAAAAAAAGTAATATAAAAAATTATATATGATATATAATTATATATATCATATATACCAATTCGTTAAATAATCCCCAGCAACTGTTTCTGAAATCAACGTACGATGAAACATAATAGAACAAACAAATGTCCTACTAATTACATAAATTGAATGTTTTTTTACTCTTTCCCGCCAGAACGGCTGAACGGATCTGGATGAAATTTGGCACAGAGATAAATTATAGTCTGGAATAACACAGGTTACTTTTTATCCCGGAAAATGTACGGTTCCCGTGGGATAGGTTTGTTTTTGTTTCCCTAGAGACGAACCCGAGCGAAACGAGGATGAGACGCTTGTTTGTTATATTTCAAGAATTTAACTATTACTTATGAAAAGAATGGTGGTTTCTAAACCATCTAACTGTTCATTAAACAGTTTTAGAGTAACAGCAAAAAAGAGAGCTGGGAACAAAATATTTGTGGTATGGCCTACAATGTACATATTAGGCCAGTGAGAAAAAAACCAAGAACATACTAATAACCTAATAATCTTTTTAAGTATTATTCGCACGCTGCTCTACTTGTGTAGTACTTATTAAAAAAACAACAAATAAAATGTTACTTGACGTAGTATAATTTTTTATAAGTAAAATAATATTTAGAATCATATGAGTAATTCTAGATTCACAGACAAACAAACAAATTATATATTTTTATATTAATTAAAATATACTTAATTATAATAGTTAGTACTAATTCTCGTAGTTAAATACAAAAGACTAAAGTATAGAAGGTACAAAGAGAAAGCGAATGCGGAACCGTCCCGATTGATAGACTCGCACGGAAACTTATCGGAAAAATAAACTGGTACACGATATAACTCTAGATTTACACTTTAGATTTTAAAGTACATGTAAGTAAGATTTTTACTATCTAGTTGAATCATTGAAGTCATATAGCCATTACTTATGTCATCTATACATATAATAAAATTGTAACTAAGCCGAATCTGTACATTAGATATTTTTTGGAAAATCTTATTGAAATAAACATTATTATCGATACAGAGGCCGAATCTATAGTTTTTAGATTTTTTGTCTGTCTGTCTGTCTGTTACCGTATTACAGAAAAACCACTGGATGAATTTTGATGAAATTTGGTATGGTGATAGTTGGTTATCCGGGTCAACATATAGAATACTTTTGACCGCGGAAAATTATCTCATTTTTGAGAAAAATACAAAAACTACAATGTAAGAGTATACTAATATGTAAAACCTAAGAATTTGGTTTTTGTTCATCTGAACGCGGGCGGAGCCATGAGCAATGCTAGTGAGATATATTATTAGTTTTTATACATAACATTATTGTGTAAGCGTAATAAAGTGTCACTATTGCAAATTATTACATAGTGCAGTTTATATAGTTTGTTTTTAGATTGCTTTATTAATCAATATTATTTATATAAAATTTCGATATACTATGTTATGTATGTCAAATATAAAATTTTACATATTATAAAGTGTCATTATATAAATTATATACACTATATACGTATAATATATATGGTACATACATAGTATATGTACTATATACATATATACAAAAAATATTAATCGCACTTATTTTTAAATAACATTAATTGGTTCATTACCTAAAGCAATCTTCTATAGAAAGTGAAAATAAAAACAAGATTATACATTCAACGCGCAATTTCTACTAAACCTTAATAAAGTTAACGATGCTAAACTTGACCCCGTTGTGAGCTCAAACATTTACAAAAAAGTTAGTACTTGATATAGCTTTATCTAGATATGGCATGTCAAAACGCTTTAATATATATATATATATATATATATATATATATATATATATATATTATAATTTATTAAATAAACAGGTCAAGTGCATATCATTTATTATCAAAAAAGATAGAATATATCTTTAGGTATAATTTAGTAAGAAAAATAATAAAATATTTAAAGTAGATAAATGTTCCTATGGCAGTGGTAGCCCAGTAAAAAGAATCATCATCGATATAGATCTACACGGACTTTAAGAATTTGCCTTGTTTCATGATATTTTTAAATTCAACAATTTTTAAACAAAACTATCTTTCGGATTTTTTCGCGGATTTATTTTGATTTTTGGTTTTCGACGTATCGAATGTTTTACAGCAACAAAAACACTTTTATTTAAAATGTCAAATATTTGCGTAAATCTAAGAAAGTATTCAAAATTTTTTCTTCAGCATTAACTTATTTTTACATTTTTTTACTGAACGTCATAATTCTCACAGAAAAAGTGGTAATATAAACTCAGCTACTGTTTACCCCATGCATAAGTTGACTATAAGATATCTCTTTTAGATAATAATCTTTTATATGGTTTACAAGAACAATAAAGAATATATTATAAGAGAATTTGGTCAGCGCAGGCAGATAAAGCGGCTATTTAGCGCATTTTACTCTAACTTGATTTACATATATTAAAATTCAAAACGGAAAACTTTTTCAAATCAAAATAAAATCAGCCTATATCAGTTAAGGATAGTGTAGTGTACCTTTCTATTAGTAAAAGAATTTTTGTAAAAAAATTCTACATACAAACAAAGTAACTCTTTATAATATTAGCAAGATAAATGCCACATCTATTAAACTATTTACAGATGCCTAATGGAATCGAGATGCGTCCGTTACGTAACAATACCGTAATCGCCAGTTTTAATTTCCGTAAATTTGCTATTACGTGTACGACAAAATAAGGTGCACTTTTGTTCCTTGAATGATTTTTCCTGGAATTTATCCAATTGAATGGTGAAAACTTGGTTATAAAACTTGGTAATTTTTATTTTAGACTAAAATTAAGATACATTTTTCATACATTTTCTGTTTGTAATTGTTTATCATAATACTGGTTTACCTACAAGAAGATATTAATACTATTATAAGAATTTATTAGTCTGTTATTCATTATTATATTATTAATAACATATATCTATATATATATATATATATATATATATATATATATATATATATATATATATATATATATAACTTATAGTACAATGTACTATTCAACGAAATATGATTAAATAAATTTTATTATTAGGTTTATACATGCAAACAAATAAACATAACAGAATATTACTCGTATAATAACTTGTACTAAGGGTCCAGAGAAAAAAAATTTACACCTTCGACCCTTATATTTTTTTGTGATAATCTAAAACGACCTGTCATATACAGGCTTCACTCTCGCTCATCGAACGTTCTCGTAATGAAAAGTGATACCTCAGTTTCTCGACACGCAGCTTGCGGCTAAGTGTCGTAATATGGGGAACTATTCTGTTAAATTATGTAAATAACATTAGACGTTGTTGCGAATGTTAATATTTCCAAAACTTCCTACGGTACGTGCTCTTAAATACGTGTTTGGAGTAAACGATAGAAGAAACGACGAATTTACAAAGCATCTAATTATTGCAAAACCTAAGTATGTCACTTTATATATCTATACATACACTTTATAATAAACTGTGTCGAATCTGCATATTAAATATTTTTTGGAAAATCTTACTGAAACGGTCATTATTATAAATACGGAGGCCGAATCTATAGTTTTTAGAATTTTTGTCCGTCTGTCTGTGACTGCATCACAGAAAAACTACTGGAGGGATATTGATGAAATTTGGTATGATGATAGCTGGCTATCCAGGTCAATATATAGGATACTCTTTACTATGGGAAAATATCTCATCTCTGAGAAATCTATACTAAACCTTAAAACTTACCTAGGGACGACTATAAGCATAGCGAGTGTGTTGCTAGTATTATATATAAATATAAAATAGTTTAGAAGAAGTTATATTTTTTAAAATAAATTAATTATTAATGAAATCTTAATTGGAAGATGGAAAGTCATATACATATGTATGGTACATTATAAAATTGTGTAAAATTTAAGAAAAATATTCAAGAATTTAAATTATCTATTTTAAATAAATAATTTAAAATGATTAAATTTTGCTTTTATTATAGTTTATTTACAATTTTTATATGTTTTTTTAAATATTTTTACAATTTTAAGCTTTAACAATATTTAGTTTAGATTAACAATTATTAGGATCTACTTTAACTAGGAGACAGCTCCCGCGCAAAAAATCCGAACCGATCGAAGCGGGGTAAGTCGCTAGGGTACCTAATATATAAAAAATATTTTTACGGCACATAATGATAAGTATGTAAAAAAATAATATCTACACGATTCATTAACAGTAACGGCTCCTCGTAACGCGCTCGCTTGAAAGTTCAAATGAAGCAAATTTAAAGCTGGGACCTCTGAATTTATTACGCGCAAATCATTTCTATATCGATTACTTACTAATATGGTAATAGAAAACATCATTAGGAAAGCTCTTTGTATCAGTATAACTAATTTTTTTTAACGTTGGGAAATGCATTTAAGCACTAGGTGTGGGACTCACCGGCAAAGCCAGTACTACCCACTAAAACCCAACGAAACCTTCCCCCGTCTTAATGGGGCGTCGCAGGATCGCTTACGCATTCAACTGCGACGCCCTGACGGCAGGTCTGCCAAAGCAGACCACCACAACCATGGGGTTGATCCAAGATCCACTCTGCTATCAGAGAAATACCAGGAGCAACCCACATGGTACACTGCCCATCGAAGAGGGCCACCTCCCACCGCCCACCGAAGTGGGCCACCTCCCTATGCGTTTCTTGGCTTCGCGCCCGGTTGGATTGCCGGGCACTAGTCAGTATAACTAACTAAAAATATGTTCTCGAAAGATGTGTAATACACAAACTCGCCTTTGACCAGTGTGGTGGACTATGACCTGCTCCTCGCATTGAAAAAAGGCCCTTACCCAGCAATGGAACGTAAAAAGAGCGACTTATTATTATATTATCACACGATTAATATAAATGGATTAAAGTAATCTAGCACTAGAGTAGCTATACCAAGATATAAATATTTTAAATAATCTCAATATTTTTCTACATTTTATTCAGCCCTTTTTTAACGTTCCACTGCTGGGCACGGGCATCCCTTCAATATTAGGGGGATCAGGCCGTAGTCCACCACGCTGGCCAAGTGCGAGTTGGCGGACTTCACATGTCTTTTGTAAAATTGCTAGGTTCTCTCAGACATACAAGTTTCCTCACGATGTTTTTCTTATATTTAGTATTTTCTTTATAACAGACTTTAAAAAGGCCTGAATACATGTATGTATGTATGTATGTATGTATGTATGTATGTATGTATGTATGTATGTATGAATGTATGTATGTATAATAACGTCATATCATTGTACGTCTAAAGAATATATTAGTAATAAATGGTATAATATATTATTATGAAGCTATGCGATAAAACAAATATCGCACACATTAATCAGTGGACAAGAAGCGTTTTCTAATTAAATTATACAATATGCCATCAACTTAATTCAGTCACATTTACACTCTCCAAAGTGTTGTCAGTTGGAAAATAATAAAATGGTATCGATATCAAGTATTGTCGGTATAGTACTACCTTTAGTGTTGTGTTTCAAATATGGTAAGACTAGATTTTTTTTCTATTTTAGCTAATTCCAGCTGTTTTGTCCATATTGTCCTAATAAATTATTGTTGTATTCTATACATATAATAAAATTCTGCGTCAAATCAAATATAAATATACAGAGGCCGAATCTATAGTTTTTAATTTTTTTGTGTTTGTCTGGGAACACATCACGAGAAAACTACTGGACAGATTTTGATCAAATTTGATGTGATGATAGCTGGTTATCTGGGTCAACATATAGAATACTTTTAACTGCAGGAAAATATCTCATTTCTGAGAAATTCTAAACTTTAAAACGTAGGGACAAACCCGAGCGAAGCAAGGGTTAGTCGCTAGTAACAAATAAAGCCATAATATAATGTTTTACTAGTTAATGAATTCCACCATCCACCTTTATTATCAAATCAGCTCGATGGAATACGTCACGCCATCGACAAGAAATGGCAATAAAAAGTATGTTAAATTAATATCTAAGATTTTATTTTTATTTTTTCAAGCACATAGAAACGTGTTCAAATAGTTTAAGAGGCCATTCATTAGATGTAAATTAAATAAAACCTCTCCTCTCCCATATCCTCCCATATCCCTTAAAACTATATATTTAAAAAAAATATCCTGTTTCGAATTTTCATTATAATCCATTTAATTTATCAAACACATTGCAAATTTAATTTTAATTTTAATAAAACTATTGACATCTCTATAGAATGTATTTAACTGTCACTTTTGTAACACAATACTTTAGTTGCTGGCGACTTATTAGTAGTCGCGTTAAAAACTACCACACCAGGGTTATCGACTGTTTAAACTGGTAAATGTTCATATTAAATTACACGTTTACTCATTTATATTAGGTTTACCATTGGTTTTTTATGGTAGGTTTTAATTAACACAATGTAAACTTTTTTATATATACTAGCGGACCAGATAGGTTCATAAGGAGTAAATAACTTTTTTTTTGGGAACGATGCTACTGACATTAGCTCTGTTGCTAAGACGTCCGTAAATATATATATATATATATATATATATATATATATATATATATATATATATATATATATATATATATATATATATATATATAATAAAAATCCACATAAATATATTTTAATTTTAATAATTTATCATATCAATAACGTAGTTAATGTACGACAAATTCAAATAAAAAAGAAAGATATGTATAAAAATCTATTTTATATGAAATATTAAAGTCAAATCAAAACCTCCTATATAGTTTGTTTCAGACCTCGTTTGATCAGAAAATTAAAAAAAACTGAATCTAGACAACAGCCATTTACGACCATAGAAGTAACCATATTAAAAGTTTTATCAAAATGAGACAAACAGTTTAAGAGAAGTTAGAATGTGAACAATGTATAATTATGTATACAGAAGGCAACATATAATTTATGTCACAATAAATTTATGTCACAGATAGTTAATTTTATCTATACTAATATTATAAAAGTGTTTCTTTGTTTGTTTGTTTGAACGTACTAATATCAGGAACTACTAATCCGAATTGAATTTTTTTTCATTAGATAGCCCGTTTATTGAGGAAAGCTATGGGCTATATGTATAGGTCTATCTATTTTATACCAACCCTTAAAATGTTTGTGTCGCTAGTTTATAATAACATTGAACTAAAAACATACACATCCAACGTACATTGAAAGTACGTATCATCTTTAGGGGTGAAATTATATTTTATCTTTATGGATTATTCATAGAAAGTGACACAATATGCTCTAAAATTGTATATTTATACTGATATTATAAATGTGAAAGTGGTTGTTTGTTTGTATGTTTATTTGTTTGTTTTTCCTTCTTTCACGTCGAAACGGAGTGGCGGATTGACGTGATTTTTTGTAAGGAGATAGTTGGAGGGCTGGAGAGTGACAAAGGCTTTTTACCGCGGAAAGTTATCTAATTCCAACGAGAAAACACGTTATAATTCAATACAAAAAAATATTTGTGATCAGAATTACTTGAAACTTGGTAGTAATGTTCTTCAATAAAATTGAATAAATACGTGTTTTAGCATTTTTCAAAATTCATCCTATAAGGGGGTAAAATAGAGGATGAAAGTTTGTGTGATTTTAACCTTTTTAGAATTTTTTTTGTAGTGTTAGCGCGAGCGAAGCCGCGGATTCTGCTAGTAGTAAATAAATTAAATATAAAATTTATTAAGGACCGTCCTTAGCCAATACATTAAAACTTATGAAAATCGATTTACAAATGGCTAAATTATAAATATATAATATATATATATATATATATATATATATATATATATATATATATATATATATATATATATATATATATATATATATATATATAAGATACACAAAAAGGCACACGGTACACCCGAATCAAGTACCTCCTTTGAAAGTTGGTTAATAAGCACAGATTAAAAATATCTAAATATACATGGCCGTGTACTATTTTTTATAAGTAAATAAAATATGATTACGTTCCAATGTCAGGTATTATGGTCACTCTCGTGTCAATTTAGCCCAAGTTCAACATGACACAACGCTTAATCCAATTCCAAAGTGAGCGTAAGGTTTCCCTTCGACATGACTAATATCATATTTCCTTACTGGCCGAATGTTACAAAAACTTTAATTAATTCTACTAATTGCGAGAAATTCAGTGAAAAAACTTTTTCTTTATGGACAATTTAGTTCGTTTTTATACATTTTTGCTTGGTATTTGTTTTTTTTTCATTTTTTGTTATATATATAGATAAAAAAATTGAAGTGTCTGTTTGTTATGTTAAAATAACAGCATTTTAACCAACTTCCAAAATGGAGGAGATTCTCAATTCGTCGGAATCTTTTTTTTTACTTAATCCATATGAAAATTTTTGAAACGGCTGGACTGATTTAGACGTAACTTTTACTGGCTGATAGCTGATGTTATGAGTTATAACGAGTAATTAACGCTACTTTCATTTTGGAAAAAGAATTAGGGTTTCGCTCAAAAAAAATGTACATAGGGACACACCTGAGCGAAGCGATAGTAAGTCCTAGCGACTTAGTCTCGCTTCGCTCGGGTTTTGTAAGAAACGTCACGTGTCAGATAATTACAGCATAACATTATATTATTTACATTAAATAGACAAAGAGAAATCAATCTACTTTTACTACCTTTTCCCCCTGTTTGTCAACTGATTTCCTTTTTTTTGTTTAGTAAGTATTCACGAGCTTTAGTGTCGTCAATAAATTAGTAACAATATAATATTTTAAATGCAAGTGCGTGTTTGTTAGTTTGTCTATATTACGCCACAACGGAAAATAGTTTGATGGATTTTTGATTATAGTTTTTGGACCAGAGAGTTCTACAACATTTTTCCACGGAAACTGTACATTTCACCGAGGTAAAAAGTTACCTATGTACTATTCTAGACTATAATCTATCTCTGTGCCAAATTTGATCCAAATACGTTCAACCGTTCTGACCTGAAAGAGTAACAAATATCTATCCATCCATCCTCACAAACTAGCAGAACCCGAGGCTTAGCTCGTGCGAAAACTACAAAAAAGTCTTAAAAGATAGGTTTCACACAAACTTTCATCTCCTATTTTACCCCGTTGTGGGATGAATTTCGAAAACACGTAAATTAATTGTATTGAAGAGTTACGCGAATATTTGACATTTTAAATAAAACTATCTTTTCGGATTATATTATCGGGAGAGACTCTCCCGTGACCATGAATGCTGTAAAGCATTCGAAACGTCGGGAACCAAAAATCCAAATAAATCCGCGAAATAATTCGAAAAGATTGTTTAACGAGTATTTCAAATGTAATGAATAGCTAATAATACCTATTTTCAAGAAATTCTGATCATAAGTATTTTTTGAATTGTATTAAGTATAACGTGTTTTCCCGTGGGAATGACATAATCTCCCGCGGCAAAAAATAGCCTATGTCACTCTCCAGCCTTCCAACTATCTCCACTTAAAAAAACCACGCCAATACGTCATTCCGTTTCGACGTGAGTAAAGGACAAACAAACACACTTACACATTTATAATATTAGTATGGACGATGTAGCGTAATTTTTTTAAATAAGCTTTTCACATAAATTTTCTATATTTCCAGCCTCTTCAATATTATGTTACGACTGTAACAGCGCTTATGATCCGCGATGCGGGGAAGAGTTCGATTCGTTCAGTCTCGGCATCGTCAACTGCTCGCTGAGGGACCCCCCCGAACATATAACCCCTGTCGAATCTACCTTTTGCCGAGTTATTAAAATGGAAAGTAAGTGTGTATATAATCTTACAATGAATTTTTTCATATTATATATTACCTACTTATTTATTACTGCCATTATATGAAGTTTTTATATAGCGTTATCTATTTCTTCTTAATATATATAATTCTTCTGTACGTGTGTTACTGTGTTAGTCCTAACTCCTCTTAAACGGCTGAACTGATTTGGATGAAATTTTGTGTGCGTATTTCAATGGGTTCCTGGATGGTTAGAAATACAATTGGACACCGATACGCCACAGGTCACTGTTATAGCATAAAGTAAACGTTAGCTTTATGCTAAAGATTTTTTTAGTAGTTTGAACGCGGGCGAAGCCGCGGGTCCTGCTAGTATTAATATAAGAAGTTCAGTTATATGAAGTTATTATCGTCCGAATATAAATTATCATTTTTCTAGTTAGCACCGATAGCAAATATTTTAAACTTGCAGGCAATATTTTTAATGTTACGACCGATAAGTTAGTTTAATTTTTATTAAAAAAAAACGTTTTTTTTTTAATATTTATTACACTAAACTATGTAAAACTAGACCTATATAAAATACTAGCAGTGCCCACGGCTCCACCCGCGTTCAGATGACCAAAAACCAAATTCTTAGGTTTTACATATTAGTAGTTAGACTCTTACATTGCAGTTCTTGTATTTTTTTTTCTCAAAAATGAGATATTTTCCCGCGGTAAAAAATATCCTATATGTTACCCGGATAACCAGCTATCATCATACCAAATTTCATCAAAATCCCTCCAATGGTTTTTCTGTGATGCTGTAACAGACAGACAGGCAGACAGACAAAAATTCTAAAAAACTATAAATTCGGCCTCTGTATCGACAATAATGTCTAATTCAAAAAGATTTTCCAAAAAAAAATCTAATGTACAGATTCGGCTTAGTTACAATTTTCTTATATTATTTATAGATTTCATTTCTATGGCTTCTGAAAGTAGAACTCAAAAGTATATTTATTTTATCTACGTAGATATTTATTATTTATAACTATTCAAGTATTTAAAAATATAATATTATAAAAAAATCATATAAATAATAAAAATATCTTTATAATAATTATCTTTCCCACAGTCTACGGTAAAGTACGTATCGTACGTCAATGCGGATTTATAGAGGAAGAGACGGGAGAACACATGTGTCGAAGGCAAACGGGAAACGGGGAGGTTTACATCACATACTGTACTTGTGACACCGACTTATGTAACGCAGCATCAGAAATTAATCATAAAATGGCGCTAATCATCGCAATTACGACTATTTCTTTGTATATATTATAATTTTAACGTGTTCATAAACTATTTTTATAAACATTCATTAATTTATTGTTAAAATTGTAACTGCCAGTGAAATATAATAGCCAATATATATTCTTGAAAAACTGTCTACATCCGGTTTTTTATTTATACGAGTATGAATATATCTACGCCATCATAACTGTATTCAATAAACACTTAGAATATTACCTTATTTTTCTAGATTTGTCTCTTTTCACTAAGACACGATCGGAGATTATAAGGTACTAGTTATACTCGCACTAAGTATGATATAAGGTAATGCATTATTTATGGTAGAGATAAAAGCTTGATTCGCTTTAATTGAACCAAGGCTAATATTGCTAAAAACTATATAAAAGAGGAAAATAGCAGAACTGCACTTTAAGGAAGGAACCAACGTATCGATATCCAATAGAGTAATGAACACTTATTGTTCTATCAAAAGACTCCAGAATGATAGTTATAAGACGTAAACTTTCAAAAAAATGCTCCAAAATCATCTTATTGTTTTAATATATACCTAATCATATATACCTACTCATTTATTTTAATATATACTCAATCAACTCAAAACACATGTTATGGTTGTTAATCCCTCCTCGACCGCGGACACGCCGGCGCGGCGTGTCAGTTAGCTATATATTATAGATTTCTTAGAATTTTAATTAATTTCTTAGAAATTTACCTGGAGGTGTTAACAGATATCAACGGTCTGATTTACAGATAGATTACTTTTAATTAAAAATACATACCACTCACCAGCGACAGATAAAAAGTAGGTAGTATGTAATATAACTACTGTGTATTGTAAATTAATAACTGACCTGGATTGGCGCCATCACGGAACACCTTAGGTTGGTTTCTGTAAGCCAGGAAGTATTCTATATGCGCCATCTCATGATGAGCTGTGATCAAGTCCTTCATGTCGGGGTGCGTGCACATTTTGATGCTGAAGAGATAAAAAACATATATATAGATATTTTTTGTCTACACCTATATAAGAAACTAATTTTTAGGGTTCCGTAGCCAAAAAAATTGGATCTCTCATAATTTTGTCAATACGAACCATTAAACAATTATATACTCAAATAATAAAAGAAATGAATAAATAAGTAACTTAGACTAAGAATACAATAAGTGACTTAGTAGTGAAAACACTAATTAAAATTTTTCTAAATAAAACTATCTTTTCGGATTATTTCGCGGATTTATTTTGATTTTTGGTTCCCGACGTTTCGAATGCTTTACAGCAATCATGGTCACGGGAGAGACTGAGGTGTTACATGTCTTGAAGGTATAGTTGTTACAGACAGCCTACCCACAATTAACAGATGAAAATTGTAAAAAATATTCGCGTAAATGTAAGAAAGTGTTAAGATTTTTCTCAAGAATGATTGATATAAATTGTAAAAACAATTTTCTCCTAAAAGTCATTGCTTATATACATTGTTAGTACGTAAAAAATGAGAAATTTTTGAATTAAATTTATTTAAAAATTGAATAATTGAACTGATTGAGAATGGTGAAATTGTAACATTCTTACCGGAAGTCATGTCCATTGCAAAAGTCCCAAGCGGATGGTTGACAATGTATGTGTCTATCCGCGGGCTGCTCAAACACACTGAGGGCCCAGAAGTCTGGAGGCATCGCCGACATATTCATAGATACAAAGAACTCTTCTGCTAATTGGAAAATTGTCAATGGTGTGTAACCCTGGAAGAAAACAATTATAATCAAAAACATCAATTTTTTTGTTTTATTCGATTACCTATAACTATCATAACCGATATTTACTCAACAATTAGTTAATTACTCAAATATATTTTCTTTTAGGTATATTTTTTGAGTTCTCGAAATGAATAATTATTTTGATTTCAGTAATCAGCCCTTTTTTAACGACCCACTGCTGGGCACGGATCTCCCTTCAAGGCGAGGGGGATCAGGCCATAGTAGGTACACCACGCTGGCCAAGTGCGGGTTGGCGGACTTCACATGTCTTTCAGAAACTTGCTACGTTCTCTCAGACATTTAGATTTAGTCACGATATTTTCCTTCACCGTAAGACAAGTGGTAAACATGTTGGAAATGATTCGTACATGAAAATTTCAGAGATGCGACATCCGGGATTTGAACTCGCTTCACTTGGATTCCCAAGCAAGCACGTTACCACTGGGCTACCACGACTACGATTTTAGTGCTGTTGAATTAATTTTGGCCAAGTCGATTGTTCTTTAAGCGTAATCTAATGGATTTATCCATTAGTTTCATCTAGAGGCACTGCTATTGAAATGTATAAAAAAGAAAAGGTAACAATTCAATGCTCTGAAAATTATTTTCAAAACTCAAACTATAAATTTTGTTTTAAATAACATACTTGTTGAATCATCTCTGGTGTAACATCAACGAGCTTCTTCCCAGGATATGGCAGGGTGAAGGGTGCGATGCCCGACCAGCTCTGTCCCCACATATCACCAAGAACGTGTGCAGGAAGGGGTGCGGAGCGGGAGATACGCTCTGGGCCGTACGACTCACGCAGACGACGACGTACGTACGCGTGGAGTAAGTCGTACAACGGTTTCACCTGTAAATTAGAAGTATATATTATTGATTTTTTAACGTATTAAAATAATCTAATATCTGTATATTATAAAATGTATATAATTATAAATATATGTGAAGAAAATCTATGTATTACTTTATAAGAATATTTCATATAAAAGTGGGAAACTTTGGCGTATTTAAAGCATATATAATTATTTTTACACTTATGTATTAATCTTACTTTTTAAATATTTTTTGACCCCCGACGAAAAATGAGGGGAGTTATAAAATTAACGTGTGTCTATCTGTCTATGACATCATAGCGTCCAAACGGTACCGATTTTAATTTTTTTTTTTGAAAGGTAACTTAATTCTGAGTGTTCTTAGCTATAAATCAAGAAAATCCGTTCAGTTATATGCAGGCCATCAGCTCTTTTCTAGATGGTAAAAGAATAAATGAATAACTTCCACAGATCTAATCGATTCAAACTGCAATGATTTGGTAACCTAGGCCTTATACTGCAGCGTCATCTGGAATCTGCAAGATACTCAATTCTACCAAAATACTGAAGAGATATCGTGTTTAGGCTCATTGAAATAGCCTCAATTAATAAGTTATTGTGTTGGGTGTTTGATTTTTTTTAAATTAAAAGTTATATTAATTCATTGTTCTATTAAAAATTATTATTATCTAATATATAAAATTTCCATGTCACAATGTTAGTTACCGTACTCCTCCGAAACGGCTTTACCGATTTTTACCAAATTTTATATGCGTATTCAGTAGGTCTGAGAATAGCTACTATCTATTTTCCATACTCCTAAGTGATAAGGGTGGCCCACGTTAGGGTCAAACCCTAGCGGAGCGAGGGTAAGTCGCTAGTTATACTATATTTTTGATATAAACTTAAAAAATATTTTATTTCATAAAATAACAATAATTGTTTACCTGTTGCCAAACATCATCAACTTCTTGTCTCATATTCTGATTTTCATATGGAAACATCCAATATGCTGAGGCGTCAGTAAAATCTGAAAGAATAATGTGTAATATAAGACAATAATAATAAATTCTATAATAAATCTATTTTCTGAACATCTTCATAAAATTATAGCAAATTCAATTTACAAACATATTGCTAAGCAAAAGTGAACAGGAGACTTAAAGTATTAAAGTAGCGTTAGGTCAAAAGTGAAAGATTAGATTATCTTTAAGGTATAAAACATAGGTTATGTAATATTTTCATCGTTTTGTAAGCATAACAATCAGAACTGATGGAAATTACGATACTAAGTAACATAATATATGTACCTTTAGACCAAGTATTATATTTAATCACCAAAATTTTCTCTTAAAACACAATTTCTTAACAATTCCGATAGGACGAGGAATTATTACTTAGAAACTTATTTTAAAAATATAATGCATGTAAAAATAATATCTAAAACATCTATACTATACTTGTATATAAAATTCTATTACTGCTTTCGTCAGCTACAAACAAAGCATATTCTAAACCATTGTAACAAAATTAATAAAGGCAGTGTCGATCTTGAAATTATTTTTATTATTTTGTTATTTGTAAGGAATTTTTCAAAATTCATAAAAAAAAGTAAAATATTTAATAATCTGTGTGGAATTTTGTCATTTTTGAAATTTCAAAATGGAAATTGATATTTACATAACCGATGGGAAATCTCATCAGCTACTTACTTGTTTCTAATATATTACACTTACTGTTAAGCCTAGCAGCTTGATTAGTTAAATCCACCAGTTGTTCATACAGGTCTCTGATTCTCCTGCCTGTGTTCCTCCTCCACTCAGTCCAAGCGTGCTGAAGCTCATCCCAGTCCCGCGAGTGTGACATAATATACTGAAGCTCAGGTTGAAGATGCAAACCACATTTAAATGGTTCATTGTACGCACAAATCTCCGCAGAATTGTATACTGCTAGCATGTCATTGATTATACGGTTGTACTGAAAGGAAATGCACGTTTTTCGTAAGTTTTACTACAAAAATTTAGTAGTTTAAGGCGTACGTGTACCTTGCTGTGTGATGACTTTAATAATTAGCTAAAACATATTTACGTTTGTAAACATATAGAAAAAAATATTTATTGCGGCTGAATTAAAATATTATTTTATTTTTGTTACCTACATTTTTGATAGCAACTTAATGAAATTGATATAATAAGAGCATGTAAATGCTTAAACTGAAATCCGCATTAATATATCCTACTGTAACCATTTGACACGTAATATTAATAGAATCTCTAACTATCTATACATATAATAAAATTGTAACTTAGCCGAATATGTACATTAAATATTTTTTTGAAAATCTTATTGAAATAAACATTATTATCGATACAGAGGCCGAAACTATAGTTTTTAGAATTTTTGTCTGTCTGTCTGTTACCGCATCACAGAAAAAACACTTCAGGGATTTTGATGAAATCAGGTATGGTGATAGCTGGTTATCTGGGTCAACATATAGGATACTTGAATTGATTGATATTCATATTATTTATATTATATACCCATTTCAAATTGTGTGTGTGTGCTTACAATTTTTTTTTAAATAATATACTCACTCTATCTAACTGGTCTGGAGGGAGAGCGGAGGCTCCAATAGTGGATAGCATACGTAACTGCCTAAACGTACTGAAGTCTCTAATACCACCACGAGGGATGTGTTGAGCTGCTTCCCAAAGCCCGCGCTGGAATAACGTGTATCGCTGTTGTGCCTCTAACTGCAAGTAAAAAGAAATAGTTTCTATAAGATTTATATTTAGATATACGTATATAAAAATATATTTTTACATACATAGATATTAAAATCTTATGGTATTTTCATAATATTTAATAACACATTTTTTATTACTAATATATAAAATAATATAAAAAAATATATTTTTAAAACAAGCTTTTATATCATATAAATTGTGTAATGAAATGAGTTTGATTTAATATAAACTTTATTTTTTATTTTTTAGATATGTATTCGTTCTCTTTTCTTTATTTTATTATATTATATTTATAATGTTTTATTATATTTTATTCTTCTCAGTAAACTCTTTGATTGAGATGAAATCAATCATCATCATATCATGGGGGCGCATAAATAAAACATAGTCCACCATCGTTGGGAGTCCGCCATGTTGGATTTAGAATGACGTCACTTGTCTAACCATGCATTGTCATCCAAACTAAACGTGTATGCAAAATTTCAGCTCAATCGGTTGAATATAACTGTTTTAAAATTTTAAAATTCAGTTGCAAGATTTGACACGAACAAACAATCTTATAAACATTGCAAGTTAAATAAAAGCTTGTAAAAGGGGTATCTACAACGATATAGGAAAACACTTAAAAGTATTTTCTATCTTTTATGTAAAACCCTTAGTAGGTATAATCAAATCATATATATATATATATATATATATATATATATATATATATAATATATATATATATATATATTGTGCAACGTACATAAAAAATACAGTTGATTAAAAATCTCCTCTTATTTGAAGTCAGTCAAAAATGATATTAAGCGGTGTTGTATAAATAAGTTTTTGCTAATATTCTCAGTATAATATAAGATTATCATCAAATTTTCTCACAAATTAAAATTATTACCTCCTTGTGTAGAACATTTCAAACACAAGTAATTTTTACACATTCGAACATGACGTATAGGTATGTAAATATAGTTAAAAGTCTCAAAGGTAAATGAACTTACAATTAATCTAATTTGAAGGCGTACTACGTAATATGAATATTTTATTATTATTATATTATATAGAGATGTATGTATGTATGTTTGGTATACCTTAACGAAAACGGATGGACGTATTTGGATGGAATTTAGTACACAAATAGATTTTCTTTGGGATAACACATGATCTACTATTAGTATCTAATAAAATTTGCCACAAAACAGCACTGATCGTTGATCAAAAGACGAATTACATTCGTTTTTCTATCAAATCGCAAAAGACACCTAAGACAGCACCTGAGTAAGCATAAATTACCTACTAATTAAGTATTTAATATATATATATATATATATATATATATATATATATATATATATATATATATATGTATATGTATATATCAAACGAAAAATAAATAAACAACATTAAATCAGTAAAGACATAGTTTACTTCATTTAGTTCAATACATTTCGTAAAAAATATATACAATACGAATACTAATTCCATTTTCCTCCCATTCATCTGTCCTAAGGTCACCATGACAGGGCTCTATTTCGAACAACATAATGCGTTATAAAACCACGGTCATGCCTATACATGTGACAAATGGGATGACGGACGTGTCAAATAGACCATTTCAAAGCCTCTTTTATGGTAGTGCGTAGATTTTTTTGCACAATGCTTTATGGAATGGTTTTTTTAAGGCCAGAGTTTTATCAGTTTCCAAACACTTTAAGATTAAGTGCTAGTTGTTAGTTAGAAATAAAACTAGAGGGTTTGGTTGCTCTATACGTATAGTTGAACTGTGCGACTTTAAAATGGTCACTTTTTTTTTCATAGTGAAACAAAAAATGGATGTCAATTTACTTATTCTTTCTAAATTCAAAGGAAAATGGTATTTTTATAATTGTCTGCATTTAAATATGAGCTAACCAAAACAATCGCTCTAATATTACATATAAATTGGATGTAAGTTATGTCTTCTATGACTTAGCGGGTTTGATTGAAATTCAAGTGGAGATGTTTCAGGAATACAATTTGTAAGCTTATTTATGAAATAACAATAACAATTATATAAATATTATTACAATATAAGTCGGACAGTTTACTATATATCGAATATATGCGAAGATTTGGATGGATGCACGGATGTTTGTTACTAAATCACCTAAAATGGCTGAACGATCTGGATAAAATTTGGCACAAAGATAGATTAAAGTCTGGAATAGCACATACTTTCTATCCCGGAAAAACGTACGGTTCCCGTGGGATAGAGATGTTTTTGTTATTCACTATGGGCGAACCCTGAGTGAAGCAAGGATATTAAATTAACCGTCGTAAAATTACAGCTGTAATATTAAATTACAGCAGTAATTTTATAAAAAAAATGCCTTAGACCTGAGATAGACTGGCGAAAAAACCTAAGAATGGAAACTACGAATTGATTAAGTGATTTTTAATAATAAGTCGAGTTAATTTCGATGACAATACTAAATTAAACGGCATACAAGAAGGACACTTTAGACAATGGAATTATATGTTGTTTTTATAACAGTGCAGTGGTCAATAATTACGTGAGTCATATATAGCGTGATATTGTTGATTATAGCGATTTGTCATGTCAAATGAGTCATTTGATTTGCGTATTATAATCTCTGTTTTTCTTAAAGATAGAAAATGTATTTAAAATAAACTAATAATATGTATATGTATATATATATATATATATATATATATATATATATATATATATATATATATATATACATTCATAATTATGCAGTCTCTTTTAACGTCTAACTGTTGGGTACGGGCTTCCCTTCAATGCGAGGGGGAACAGACCATGATATACAATGGACTATGTCTCTGATGCTAGCAAAAAAGAAGAAATATGGGTTGGCGAACTTCACATGTCTTTCAAAAACTTCCAAGTTCTCTCAGACATGCAGGTTTCCTTACGATGTTTTCCTTCATCGTAAGAAAAGGGGTAATCATATTAGAAATGATTTGCTCATGAAAATATAGGAGGTGCGAGACCCGGGATTTAAACCCGCTTCACTCTATTTTCCAAGCGAGCGCGTACCACTGGGCTAACATTGCCATAAAAGTTTGAAATTCATAAAGATACATAAAGTAGACAAAATAATTAATCTTTTAAACACAATCTCAAATTAACATCCTTCTAATAGATATCGGCCACAGCGTATAATCACATTGAGAGTACTCATGCGCGCAGAACATATTGCTTCTCTAATTTGTTATTTCTTAAGTTATTAATTTTTAACGATTGAGTTGAAATTTAGCATTTATGTTTAGAAATATACATAATATATACATAATATCAATCCCTGAAAAACAGGATTCTTTGATTAAATTCGAGATGATTGTACTAATTTCTTAATTTAATATAAATATATTTAGCAATCATCAAATAGTAGTTTTTTTAACATATTGAAGACAAAAAAAACAAATTTATAGTTTTAAAAATCTTTGCCTGCTGGTTAAATTGTATAACTCAAAAAAATTGATAAATCTTATTTTCTGTATATTTTTATTCATATATACGTATCGCGTCATCCACACTAGTATTATAAATGTGAAAGCGTGTTCGTTCGTTTGTTTGTTTGTTTATTTGTCTTCCTTTCACGTTAAAATGGAGTGACGAATTGACATGATTATTTGTGTGGAGATAGTTGGAGGGTTGGAGAATGACATAGGCTACTTTTTACCGCGGGAGATTATCGCATTCCCACGGAAAAACACGTTATAATACAACCCAAAAATTAATTATGATTAGAATTACTTGAAACTTGATATTAATGCTCTTCAAAACAATTAAATAAATATGTCTTTTAGCATTTTTCGAAATTCATATCATGAGAGGGTAAAATAGGGGATGAAAGTTTGTATGGAACCTACGTTTTTAGAGTTTCTCTGTAGTTTCAGCGCGAGCGAAGCCGCGGGTTCTGCTAGTATTATATACTTCATAGTGTATCGCTACATTATATATGTATTCTGGTTTCACATAACCACCATTTTGCATGGACAGCAGGTGATATGCGTAAACTTTTTTCTTTGTCGTTCTTATTGTGGAAAAAAAGGAAAAAAGATGTAAAACCATAGACCTAATACTATACCTAACATAGAATGTGATTGAAGAAAACTCACGTAAAAACTAAGTTGTAAGCATTTTGTAGTAGTTACATAAAAGTTCTTTCTATTGTTGATCTCGAACCAACCTTGCGACGACACCACATCTAAATATACGTAGGTAATTCATTAACAACGACCTTTGAGATAATCGCGGAAAATCACAATTGTTCTCATTTAATCCGGCCAAGTTCAGAGTTTTAATCTGTTAATTTAACTCTTTCATTATTTTAATGATGCTACTTAATCTTATTACGAATTTAAAATGCAAAAAATTAAGTTTAAATTTCCTAGATTATACCGGTTTTTGTTTAATAGGAAATGTATTTACGTATACCACCTGCATACTAAGATACAGATGGTTATGTTGGATTGCCTGGTTAGAGAAATTGGCACTATCCACTTATACCCAATGGAACCATCTTCCATCGGACGCCCCATTAAGACGGGGATGACTTAATTGGGCGTCGCAGGATGACTTACGCACTCAACACATACATACATATAATTATATATATGTAGTGTATCAACTATCTGGTATACATAACACAGGCCTCGTAGCTTACCATGGAACTAGATGGCGGTGTGTTAATGTCCCAACATATTTTTTTTAACACAACGCCCCGACAGCTGCCCGCCCAGGCAGATCACAACAGCGACTTATGTAATTACAATATACCGACTTTACTTTCTATGTACAATATGTATACATGCATGTATTATACTTATAGATCTTCTGAAAATTCACAAAATTATTAAAAACATACCAAAAGCCATAGCACGCTTTAAAAGAATTAAATGCACAAACATACAGACAACGGTATAGTTTATTTAATATAATATTCTTAGAGATCAAATCCGTATAAATATTAAAAATGTAA